ATGTCACAGTCAGTAGAAAATCAGCAGCTGTTTAGTCTGCAAAGGACTCAGCAGACTGACAAAAAACCTTACTTTTTAATTAAACTACTTACCCTAGGGCCTTATATCAAGGCAGACAATTTTTGAGATAAAGTAGCTTGGAAAATGTTGAATTTATTAAATTATTATTTCCCTGAATAATTTTAAAGGCATTCTTTTAGGGCATAGTTAGCTAATTCAAAGCACAGAATGAATGATCAATCAGTTTTTCTGTTTCTTTTGAATCAAAGGCATGAGTTAGCTCTAACTTGAGAGCTGTATCAGGAACTTTGGACTGGATAGCACATAATTCAAACAGCAGACTCAACCATGCAAACCAGAGGACAGCCAAGTACTAGGAGCTAGGGCTGTCCTGCAAAAATAACAAACATAAAATAATTCCAATATTATACCTTTGAATAATTTTGGACTTTGCATGGCATTGGCAGCCTATGAAATGAGTTCAAAGGGAAAGTATGGATCTTTTCAGTGGCTCCGAACCTCTTGATAACACACAGAATAAAATTCAGAGATGCATTAGGTGTTTTAGGACCCTTCTACCTTTTGCCCATGAAAACACACATGAGAAGCAAGGTATTGTGTGAGAAGCTAGAAAAGGGATGAAGTGCTCACACATCCTCAAGTTTTCACTCAGCTATTTACTCCACTATAGTCTCTTCTCACAGAAGCAGATGAAATAAAAAAATTAGGAACTTTAAATTAATTTTGGCATGCAGCCTGGACACAAGGGATTAGTCTGTGCATCCTGCAGGCATGCAGCGAAGTAGAGCACTGAGTTTAATAGTTACAAGAGTACCATATGGTTACCCCTGAACCATATGATACTCTTGTACTCTTTTTTTCATTCATCTTTACTTCTACTTGCCTGTCTTTAAACAATCTGAAATACTCATGATGTAAAGTTATAATTTGGACTGGATCTCTAGACACAGTAAGTTACTTTGGACACAATTGTTTGTGATACAAAATATCATCTCAAATGAAAAGCAACACAGTCAAAATTATAGTACTGGCTTTTTATCAGAATGAAAATCACATAGTGAAGATAACAAAATGCATCAAAAGAAAAAGTAAATGCACGTCTGCCTAGAAGATCACTTGTACTCTAATTCGTTTGGACACTTAAAATTGCTTCTTCTATTTCTAACAAAATATATTCCGTTCATCCTATTCCTCTGAGCCTCACAGTCTCCTCCTCTTTTGTTCTGTTGAGTTTAATGTTTCCTACTACAACTTTATAAAGAGACGTTTCGGTGCCTTTTTATACTCTGCTAGTCTTAAGCGTGATGTTGCTCCCCATCAGCTCACTACTCCAGGAGACAGGTCCAACCACTGGCCAGAGTTCAGGCAGACAGCAAATAAATGTCTGTGTTTTTTTGTGGAACAGGCTTGCAGTGTTGTGTCACTCCCAGGCAGCTCAGGAGAACATATTTTTTCAGACACAGCAATCAAAGACTCCCCAGCACAGCTTTGGGCAGAGATGCCTTCACCTGCTCAGGCTCAATGTCTGACACATGAGAGGTGTGAGAACCTGAGCTGTGTGAGCTGACTGTCTCAGTACTTCCAGCTGCCTGTGGGGAATCCTTATTTAACATGTTGCTCCTTATTCCCAGTTTTTCATTCTCCTAACAGCAGCACAAATGGTTAAGCAGTGCAAAATCACATATTTTACTGAGACAGTAACTAATGCCTACCCAGATTTTAGTAAGATCGTAGCTTTTCAATGCAGAACTGCCAGCTTGAAGAGATCGTGATATATTCCATGATTCAGGTGGGACTCCAGCCACCAAAACAGTTCCAGAAGCACAGCCCCATGCCACAATATTTATAAGGGCAGGGGGATTGTGCTCCAGTAAATCTCAGATTGATGGCAAACACGGCACTTTCAGGGAATGGTATGGTCAGTAAAAGAATAAAGTAACTTTTCCTATATGGAAACTTAGATTAAGGTTTTTGTACTCTCACTGAAAATAACTATGATGGATATACAAACTACAGCTGTGTTGAGCCTAAAGATACAGGACAGCCATTAACAACTCCATTGTAAAAACAGGAGCTCTGTTCCTTCTAACATTTTACACTGGGATATCTTATCCATATTAATTATTCAGCAATGCAAAGAGCTTTCCTTCCTAAACTGTAAATTCAAAACCTCACTGAGCTCAGCATGCTGGGGTTTGTGCTTTTTATCATCTAACCCACTGAAATTTATTTATTTGCTATATCTCTTAGATATTATCCTATTTCTTGCCCTCTTGAGCAGGGGCTCCACAGAGGACAGAAATGGTGTTGTTCAGCAGCTTTGAAGATGATGTTAGCTTTTATCCCCAACATGAAATGAAAAACTATTTGAAGCCTTTCATGAAACTGAGCTGTGTCAAAATAGTTTTCAGAGAAAGGTCAGACTCTCAATCCAGTCTTCTCAAAACCCCTTTCAGCACTGCAAAAATGACAGAAACATCAAAAAAATCCACAAAATGCTTCTACTTCAGTACAATTACATTTTTGATAAACCATATTTATGCTAGCTCTACTGTAATTATTTAATGACTTTACTCTTTCTCTTTGACTTCTGCTCCAAGTCTGCTGCCACTTCTGGCTGTGTTACTCTGAGAGGTGCTTGTGACTTTTAGAGAAAAAGTCCTTCCTTGCTTCTCCACACATGTAGTAGTTTGGGGCTGCCAGTCCAGAAAACATGGAGCACTTGTCACAGACTGCAATGGGGCTGGGACTTCACCATAAGATTTAGTTCCAACCTTGTGTGAATTTGGCCTTTCTAGGATTTCCTAATCACTGGATTTATTGTCCTCAAAGCATGCATGGTCTTGCAAACATTTCAGTGTCTGGGGATGTACAAGGGTTGTTGTTCCCTCACTTTTTGCCTCAGATCAGCCTCTGAGTAAGTCCCTGCTCTAAGCACAAAACTGAAGTCCTCAGGGAATGACAAAAACTCTAAAAGGGACTGCATTCAGTGGAATCCAATGTGAAACAAACCATATTATGGATATATATTTCAGTTTCACCTCCACATTGAAATATTTGTGGATTCACAACCTATTCCTTTAAATTACTTAATATCTTTCTTTCTTTTGGGATATTTTGCATCTCTAAAAGTTAAGACTGCTGCAGGAGTTCTGAGAGGTCTAGATTTATGTATAGACATAAGTCTTTGCATAGCAAACTCTTTTAATGTTTTATAATGTGAACTTCCAAGTACAGTTGTGGATACATTTTTTGAGCAAAGGAGATACCACATTAAAAAAAATAAATAAAAAAAATAAAAAGAAGAAAAAAAAGAAAAAAAAAAGACTACCTGAAAATAAATGTACAGGATCTTACTGATTAAAAAGGCAACCCCTTCCTGAGTGCTGGTAAACTCCATAACTGTTAAAGTCTAAATTAACATTGGGTAACCAAAGTGCAATAAAACTAAGGGTTGTAGTACAGAAATGAAATACAGATCTCACAGTTACCAGCAGCTGTCACAAATAATATCAAGCACCCTTCTTGCTGAGAGACTATTTTTCTATTTAGTCTGTATTCCATCCCCACTTTCATTCTAGAAAGTGAAGACCAAAGCTTATTTTTTATGCTTTAGGAGCTATGGATGAACTTCAGTTACAATTTAATTTTTAAGCTGAAATTCATAGAATGAAGGATGCAACTCTTAAAACCAAACATGCAATATAAAACAATAAAAAGTAATACCATATAAGTTCCACAATAATAAATAATTCCAGCAATTCAGAAAGTGCAAATAAATATCTATGTAGTTTCTGTTTAACTGTTCCTCAACAATGTAAAGAAACAAATTATATTTGCAGTTTCTGAAGTAAATTATTATATTAATTGGAATATATCTAGTAGGAAACACAACGTATTTTATCAAGAGCTATAGTTAATTCAAAGCCAGTTTTGAGTTGCCACTCAGCAACACTGAGTGGCATTTGCGTTTATACCTTCACAAGTGGTCAAACAGAATCTGACTGTGGCAGAACTCCCTTATGAATGCTCAGCTCTAGCCCTGGGAAGCAAGTGCTGTGTCAACACAGTTTTTAGAGCAGCCATTTACAGATCTGAATGTTTGGGTGACAAATGTGGTTTTGGAAGGAACAACTGAGTAACTGCTTGTCAAGGCATTTGCTGAAAACAGCTTCTCTGCTAGCTTTTATTCCATATATTTCTGAACATTCTGATTTAAAGTGGTATTTTCTCTCAGTGAATATGGTGCAAAGCTCTCTTCTAGGAATGATCAATAATGGCAGTGTTATCTGTACTGGCTGAGTTATTTCACTCCAGGTCACCCCTGTTTGCTCTGAGGACACAAATGCCCATAAGAGTAGTAAGATATCCTCTCATCTCAGCCCTGCAGCACACAATTCACAGCATTATTCTCCTGCCACAGCATTAGCAGCCTTGTTTACTGGAAACCTCATTTCCAGATGTATTGAGTAAATGCTGATCCTCGGGGATTCGCTGGAAATTGCAGGTGATTACAAAGCCTAAAGACCAGGCTGTCTGTCATGACGTATTTGAGCTAAGTAACAGAATTGTATAAGTGTGTTCAAGGGCATATTCTGAACACAGAGGGATCAAACATTTGTCAGGGAGAGCCCAAGGAATCTTTATGTTCATTACATACTTAGAACATTATGTCTCTGTAAGACTGAGTTTATAGATGTAATAGTTAAGAAATGCTTGGGATTTGTTTGCAAACTGAGCACAAAGGAAATAATGAAACAGAGTGACAAAAAAATCACTGCTTTAAGAACTCCTGGAAATGAAATAACACAGAGAATTAGCCATGCTTGTGCCAAGGCTCTTGTCTACAGGGCAGAGCTGCACATCATAAGATGATGGGAGCCATCTCACAAAACCCAGCAAATACCTGGAAACAATTGGGATTCAAGACCAAAAATTGCCCACTTGCACATCTATTTGTTTCCTGGCATGGCTCTCTGGGCAGGGTGGTCACCTGGGGACCAGAAGGAACCCAAAGAACAGATTTATCAAGGAGATAAATCTCACCTGAGATTCGTTCTTCAAACACTCTGAAAAAGCATTAACACCAGTTCTGTGTGTGAGGAACTGCATTGACTTGTTTGTTCATCAAAAGTATGAAATTAGGATAAAAGGGGGGGAAGTCGGGACATGGAATTTGCAGGCTTGACTGGTAACCACAAACAAAGACTGTGAAAGATTTTGCAGGACTGGCTGGAACTGATAACCGCAGGGGAAGGAGATCCATCACCTCCACTTGTCAAACAAACTACTGCTGGGACTGATAACCACAGTGGAAGGAAACCCATCACCCCCACTGGTGCTGGATAAAAAGGGACTGAAGAGAAGGAAAGGTTGTCAGCTTTTGGCGGAGCCAGGCTCCCAGCTGAACCCAGTGCTGTTTTGCTTGCTATCGCTTGCTGTAATTAATAAAATTATTAATTGATCTTAAAAGGCTGAATCAAATTATTCGCCTCAATTTATAACACTGTGGTTAATGAAAAATAAGCAGCCTCAACTGACAAAACCCCAACAACGACCTTCATCATCCTCCCAGTGCTGCTCCACAATCAGCACGTTATGGCTGTCAAAATTACTTATCAGATACAATGACAGCTCACTTGGCAGATTATAGCTACTTAAAAAGCCACAATTGCACAGAGATATGCAGCTGAAGAACACTTAAAGAATTTTGAATACTACAGGTTGGATAAATTAGATGATAATGAAAGGAAAGTTAATAAAGCATTTCACATTCTTCATAAGTTGCAATTTTCAAATTACCAAATGTGCCAACTTTTACATCTACAAACCACATTCTGCAGATGGGGTAAAAAAAACCTTCCCAGCTATGTCATTGGTACAAGTGTGTGTGATAAATTCTGAAAGGAATACATTTGGCCCATTTCAGGTGGAGCAGCAGCTCCTTCTCATCTCTGGAATTCAGGGAATTCTCAGAAAAGCGTGTGTGGGTATTTGTGCACTGCAGAGAGAAGGTGGGAAAATACCAATAAAACCCAAACATACGGAAACTTCCTGGCTCAAAAGGAGATGAACTCTTGCTATCTGCCCCTGCACATCAGGAAAGACTGTGACACCAAAGAGTGACTACAACTTTAATCATGTGCCAGGCTTGCTTGGTCTTTTTAAATGGTTTCCTCTGTTTTCCTTTCCACAGTGGAACAAATGTGTGAACCCTGGAGTTCAAAAGCTGTTTACACCATCGCGCTCTGCTCCAGGCAGTCATTTTGGAGATTCCCTTCTCCCTCCTTTTTTTGTTTTTGTGAAGGCTTTACATTCTGGTAGAAGGCAATCAGGTAATAGAACTGATAATGACTTTTTTCTTGGTTTTAGTGATGAACTAGATGATGAACTAGATCTCTCTCATATCAGTTTATTCATAGCATTGTTCCACTGACTTGAAGAAACTGTTGTCTGTTTTCACAGCTGGAGTGGAACAAAATAAGCACAATAATGCCTGGTGACAGCTGCAAATTAGGCATTTTGGTGGGGAATTCCAGAGCATTAATGCTTTTTTCCACTGTGACCAACACACCAACATTTTTTGTTTCAATAGTGCATATCCACTATACGTGTAAAAAACTGTGCAAGAGTCTGTGTAAATTCACTGGGGAGCTCTAAAGCATAATTTAAAAGTTATTTTTACTGCTACCAGTCACCAGTACTGTGGCCCTATAAATCAAGGATACATGGATACATTCATACCCAGAAAGCTATTCTATTTGCCATGACAGAGGAATAAACAAGTGTTTTTACACAGTACCCAGGGCATCTGCTCTGAATTACGTTCTCTTAGCCTGCAAATGGAAGGAAAATATGGATGTGAAAAGTATATGAAAACACAACCACAGTGCCACTCTGACAGGACCTTTGGAAGGATGTTTGACAGATTGTGCTGTCCAGGAATGAGAGATCTCTTTCTTCTGATCATAAGGAAAAACAAACAAAAAATAATCATAAATTCTTTAGATTGTACTAGATTTGAAACAGTAAAAGCACCAATTCAAGATCACAAGAACAAAGTTTCCATAAAACTGATGACAGAACACATAACACAGAGGTAGAGATAGAAAAGTCAATATTCATTATTCCATTAATTCCTTGCTCTCCAGAGTAGAAGTTCTGAGGAGGTCATTGCCCACCAGCCAGTCTGTGTTTTGTTAGAGTATCAAAAGTATTTGGTTGCAATGATTCTCACATGTTTGATTTCTTTTACTGAATGGCACCATTGGTAGAAAGAGAAACCAGGCGGAGAATAGCGGAGAAGGTGGAGAATAGTCTGGCAGCAATTATTCTGAGATATTCCCTGTGTTTTCAACTACTTTCTGTAAAAATATACAGCTTTAAAAATATATCTATTCAATAATTCAATGAGGCTTTCTGGTTTCTATACTGAAAATGCTACTGATGCTTGACAATAGGGACATATTTCAACTGAATGTTACAAGTTCCTCCCTCCATCTCTTTTAAAATCATTCTATGAGGCATGAAATTGCATCAGAAATAATGGTACTGGATGAGAAAAAACAAGAAACTAAACAATTATGAAAGCAAGCCCTGCAAAGAAACACGGGAGGGGTCTGTGAATGAACAATAAAGTGTTTATCAATGAGATTGCTGCTTCCAGACAGGGTCAATGAACCTGTAACTCCCAGAACCAAACCCCAGGTGACAGAGAAGTCCCTGTCCCCAGAACAGAGGGGTCAATTGCAGCAGAGGTTGATAAGAGAGCAAGGGAGGGGGCAGCAGGAAGGGGTGTCCCTGCCACAAGGTACAGACAGACACAGCATGGCCTGTGGCCAGAAAGATTATTATTCTAGCCTAGGATTATTCTTGCAACATAGGAATAATTAATCTGTGAAATTCCACACCAAGACAAGCTTAAGAGGGTCAGACATAGTCAGGTTTGACTCCAGCAAGCTTCTGTAAGAGACTGATAGCAAAGAGAGAGCAGTGACTAGATCAGACTTGTCAAAACCTCGTGGAAATAAAGAAACTTGCAGTTTATGGTGCCAGTCCTACCTCACCTAGGTTAAACACCACGTTTAAGTGCTATTAGACAGACCTGTCTCTTGAAAAGCATTTATGACGTACAGCAAAGGATAAATCCAACTCAAACAAGATTTTTTTACCAAGCAGAAAGATAGCACAGGCAAACAAGACCGCCAATGTTGCAAGTAGAAAAAAGGGCTCAGAATATTCCACTGCAAGAAAACTGAAAAACAACTTCTAGCTTAAGATGTTATGTACTAACTTTCAGTAATTGGAGAATAGGAACATGAATATGATAATTATAGTAGTTATGATAGGCTATAGAAAAAAGTAAAGGCATAGAGTGGTTCTTATGCATTAAGGTGCTCAGCAAAGTAAAGGTATATAATGCATTGTAACCAAAATTAAAGGGTCTTCAGGCTTGTCTGGGGCTGGAGCTGACAGCTGTAGGCATGGCTCTGTCACCCATGACTCTGGACTGCTGTAATATATTGAATGTAATAAACTGCATTTTGTGAAAATATCGAACCTCATGCCTTCTGCTGGACACATTCACTGACACTTTGGAGCAGAGCACAGCACTTCTCATGGTGTTTGTGCAATGGCTGCAGATCCAAGACCTAAAAGTCAGAAGGCAGAACTAATTCCCAAGTCCTTACACAGAGCTACTGTTTAAGGGCTCTCATAAAGGATATGTTGTCTTATGGCAAGTATGGGAGCACATAAATGATTGCTCTTACAGTCTTGCAGAGGATAAGGACGACCCAGATGTTATTCTCTCTTCTGGATAAGGGACAATCACAGTGGCCTGGCAACATTACTCTGTTAGCCAGTGAAGTTTTAATGAGGATCGTCCTTTCTTCCTTAGAAACAAAACAAAACAAGCACTTCAAATGAGAAAAAAGATCAGAAAATAGTTTAAAAATACAGAGGCAGGAAAAGACTAGCCATTCTCACTAGACCTACTCAGTCTCAGATTCTCTTTATGATAGATTAAGCAGTCACACATCGATCTGTTGGTTTTTTTGGCAGTTTGTTTGATATGGTGTTTGATTTGTCAACTCATTCCTCTTTGCTCCAGCTACCTCATTTTCTGTATCTGTTACTCCTTTGCCTGATGTCAGTCAAAGGATCAGAGGACTGAGAACAAGGGAAAAAACTTCAGTGGCTGATCATATGCAGTGCACAGCATCTAATTATTCCATGCAGCTTGCTTAAATTATGCAAGTCCCTCTCCTGTTGTTTATAACCTTGTGAAGCTTTCTTTCCCCAACATTTTTTGTGGGAGCTTATTTAAAAGCTGTAAATACAAATAACAGTATGATGTAGTTTAATTGAGGAGTGGGCTGATTGTTCAAAGCCTGACTCGTTCCAGTATTTGATATTCAAACACAGAGTTCAGCTGGAACTGAACAGGAACAATGTCCCCCATGCCAGAAGACTGAACCAGATTGCAGAAGAATTTAGTTGTCTATTCCAAAATGAGTTCTCTGTCAGCATTAACTTAGCAGCTGGACCTCACCATTACTTTTCAATCTCTGTGTGTTGACAACACTGAAAGGTGCTAATAAAGAAGCAAAAATGGCTGAAAAATCACATGGGATATAAAGCAGTCACAGCTCAAAGACTTGGATTACTCATTTTCTCCTTCAATAAATCTAGACTGCTCAGAATAAGAATTAAAGCACATTATGACTTTGAAAATAAAAACACCAGTTGGCTTTTCCCTCCTAAAAAAACAACCAAACAAAGAAAATTAAAAAGGAAAGGAAATGTGAACGTAGAGTGAAAAAAAATTACAGCATGCATAACATTCACAGTCAAAATCTACTCTGGAGATAAAAATTTTAAATAAAATGATAAATAAATTATATGACACTTTATTTTGGAAAGTATTTCTTTTGCTGTTCCCTTACTCTCCTCTTTTATTTTTTAATAGTTGCCATGGATTAAAAAATATTTCCAATATGTTTAAATACTTGCTATGAATTTGCATTATGTCCAACAGGCCACCACTGAGTTCACAGGCTGGGCGGGCAGCAATATATCTGCTTTGGACCAGCCTCCCCGTTCTGGGCAACAGAGAACTGCAGACCTGTCCTGGCTTGTAAGATAGGCATGTATTCTATTTGCTATCTGTTGGAATTTAGGCAGTTTTCTTATCTCTTCCAAGAACAATGTCTCCCTCTGAGGAGATATCTTCTGTTAATGGACCATGGAATGACTCACTGCATGACTGGTAAAGTTCCATCATCCCACTGTGAGGTGCTCTGCCCAGAGGGAGGAGCCAAGCATTCCTACCTGCATAAGATCAGCACTTTTTGGGACACCAGAGCAGCCCTTCGCTGGATTCCCAGAGGAGCAGCTTCTTCTCTGCTGGATCCCCAGAGGAAGACCAGACCCATCTACTCCATCACCAGACCTTCAGAGAAAACTCCACTCTTCTCCAGATCCCCGCTCCAGCAGCATTTCATC